AACAAGGTACCCTGCCTGGTTGGATGACCTGACCAAGCTCTCATAGCGGCCCCATTGCTGGCTCATACCAGGCTGTTCGCTGCTTCCCCTCCCTCTGTCATAATTCTAGGGAGTCAGCGACGAGGATATCTAGAATGAGGAAGCTCATTCATACTGGGTGGTCAGATAAGTTTCTGTTTCTGACATGACCAACAGCTCATACCGATTCCATTGACAAGCTATTTAGTACCAAGCCCATTTACTGCTCCCTATCCCGTTGCAAAGATCCTTGGGACGTAATACATGCGGATTATCTGGGATGAAGACGCAGCTCATTTATAGAAGATGATCCATATTCCATTAGCCAGAGGGGTTATTTTTTAGTTGGGTTTTGACACTTTTTTTTACTACTGAAGTTACAATGGAAGCCTTTAAAGACGAACATTTCGGATCACCTCCACCCTTTGTAAGGAATTGAAAAACAAAGTGAGAAATTTCACAGCTTAAGTAAAGAATTTGACAGCTAAAAAACTCCTATATAAGTTCAGTAAAATGGGAGTCAATGAAGAGAAAATGTCTGGGAAGAAAAACAATTGAAAAGGATATTCATGGTAAAATTACTCAGAACCGTTAGCTCGGGTGGATCGAAACCGTAATCATGCGGGAGAGGTTAATCAACTTAGAAAATGCTAGCGGTGCGATACTTCATAGTTTACTTGAGAATTATATTTCCAAGGGTCCGAGCGAGAGATTTGCAAAAGATTTTGCAAAAGCGAGAGATTTCTTGAAAATGCAATTTGTCCGCATAGCCACTCTACTCCACTCAAAAATAAACATTCAGAAAGCAAAAAAACGACTTAAGTATAAACCAACAACCGGAAAGCAGTGAACGGAAATCGATCCATGAAGCGAAGGCAATTGAAGCGAATTTCTAATGAAGCTGCCAAATCTATCTTAGAAACGTAGTAAAAACGAAGGTTGTAGAAAATCTGTGTCGTAGCTGTTGTGTAGGTGTTAGGACGACACACTCGAGAAAAATAGACCAGCGGCACTACTTGGATGATGGCCAACTGATGTCGGGTCCGCTAGACGAGGCTGTCCATAATAGCCTCCCCTCAGTTCTCCTCACTCACGGAGGCCTTCCACGAAAATCGATAACGCGACGGAATGTTGACGCCGTTGGACAACACCATACAAGCGTTTCGTTTCCGGCCGATAGCAGGTTTCTATGGGAGGCATGCCATCTCGCTAATAATCATCCGGGAGCCCGAGAACACGGGACCTTGAGAACTGTTTTTGGTTTTTTTTTCTCAAATATTCCTTGTTTCGTCCATCCTTTATATAAGCAGCATTGTGTGGTCTATGGTGTTTCAAGATGAAACTCAATGTGTATGGGTGAATAGGAAGCGACTCATTGTCGGCAGCGTCTCCCAGGTTACGGGAAAGCGTTCGCTCGGGTATATGCCATTCGCAGGAATCCGAGTGAATCGGGCTATTCACCCAGTTGTAAACACCTGAGGAGGTAGTAGAAGTTTTGGTAAGGTGGTTACTCGGAGAGTTTGAGAGAGATGACTTTCTAGTTGGTTAACGATCATGTTGATTCAAATGGTATGGGATGAAATGTTCCCGAATCGATTGTGCCTATTCACAGGGACGGCAAGGTAATGAAATAGGGTTCATGATGGCTATTACTTCCAATAGACCGCTCCCGCTCAAGTCATACCTTTGAGTGGAACGAACAAATGGTCGAGAGCGCCTCTTTAGATTGCGACACTTCCTGAAAAACTAGGCTTTGTTTGGCTTATCCCCTAACTGGTAATTACCCTTATCAGGAATTTTTACAAGAAAATTTATTGATTGGGAATTCTATGTAAGGACCAACACTTGCCAAGGAATCTGTTCATACCTGAGGGAGTGGCTTGAGGGGATTTACAAGATGCTTCGGGTTTTTAGATTCTTGTTTATCTTGTTAGGTACTGAATATTTTCCATGAGTTTTTTCTCTTAATGCGCTCTCTTTTGACCCCAGACCGAAGCCATTGTCATCATTGTAAGAGTTGATTTTCGAATGTTAGCCTTGTCTGCTTGGAATCACGGACCTCCAGTTTTAGATGGTTTTGGAGACCAGCTCGTTATGGGAAGCTATCTAAGGAAGTAAATCAGCTTCCAGTCAATCATTAAAGGGTATGGTATCATGATTAGAGCAGAGGTGGTGTAGTGGGGAGCGACGCACTATCACACACGCACTGTCTGAAGAACAGATCTCTCTGCATGTATCCCTAGGTCAACGGAGAGTTCCATCACTTCGAAGCCGGCAAATTAGTAACAGAGTCTTCTGAGAGGATCAAAGCAGTGACTATTTCACCCGCTGACCAGCTGAAGTCTTGATAGGCCGAATACGCATTCGATACCTCACTATTATTCTGGAAGGAGATCGAATGCTGGGCGCAACCAGTAGATGGGAATGAACCTCATGTTCGAAATTTTATGCTGGATCAGAACAGGGATCCAACAAATTCCTTAGTGGACTGAGCTGTTGGACCCTTTTTTCCCTTTTCAAGATTCTTTTTTGATTTTTTCCACCGAGTTCGGCTGAGACTTTCAACTCACTTGGTACAAGCAAGGTTTGCTTTCGAAAAAAAATGAATTTCGGTCCAGTACCACCCAGTGGCTTTGGTGACCATGAAGTACCGAAGTTCTTCCCACCCTTCCAACGCAGACGAAAAAGCTCTCAAGTAGACGTGCGACACGGTGATTTCCGCAGAAATCACTCAACCTTTATAGGTTACACGGTCATGAGCGGTGCCCATCAGTGATATACCTTTTATCACGCTTCCGGCAAAAAAGAAGACTCACGTCACTTTTCATCATCTCAATTGTCCACTGAAGATGTCTCAAAGGTATTTGGAACATGTTAAACTTATGATTTCTAAAAACTAATGAGATAGTCATTCACTGTAGCGGCTATTGCCCCATTTAATGTTTACCACTTTAGAGGCATCTCCGATGGAGACAGGAAATATGGGAAAATGCACGCGACGTTCCAGTTATGCCGGCATTGGATGGAGCGGAACCAAATTAATTATCCATATCTCATGGTTGGACAGCGTAATTTACAGAGTAGGAGTACGGAAAATTCCCAGTAGACGGAAAAAGGATACAGGCTAGGGGGAACTGAGCAAAGTCGCCGATGGGTTGGCCAAAGTGCATACAGACACATCCTTGACTTTCTTCAAGACATTCCCTTGGATAGTCCTGGGAATGTTTTACTTATGAAAACTTACTCAGTCATAGAACGCACTCTCTATAAAATCAGAAGAAGTAGATGGCTTTGGATCAACCGTCAAAATGAGACGAGAGCAGCCAAATAGGGCAGAGTTACTCATTAAACTGAACTCCAGGTTATTACTTCGGACTAGCTCATTCCAGCAATTCACTGGAGATCATGTAAAGCCTGGCTGTTTAGCTGCCGTTCGATGAGTTACACTTGGCTTTATAACTCAATTGATGGCTAAGGAACATGATTGTAAACATTCGAACTGAAAATGGAAATGGAAGCAACTTAGAAGGAAGTAACGGAACGCCTATTAACGACTGAACTCCCTTTCTCGTTTCTTTTTTCTGTTGCTGAGGCTGACCCTGAGGGAATCGAATGCACGACACCTTTTTAGAATACATGGCTCACTAGTTTCCATTACAACCGACTGAATTGAGTAAGTATGGCCTATCAAGTGGTCGTTGGGGGATTGGCTACTGGTCGGAAAAGTTTGTCTCTGCTTAGGTTATGATATATGAGCTTTTGTACGGCCATCAAGTTTTTGTACATCGTCGAGGCCTTTTTTGTCTTTCTTTCTAACAGCGATATAGAAGCGACAATCTGTCGACATTGCTCAATCCCTCCTCACGTCGCTCCCTGGTAATGTGGGAAATTATCACATAGAGTACTGTTTATTACTACTTAAGGTTCTTTTTGATGGATTGAAGATCATTTTCAACCTCGACACTTATGCCCCCAACTCAAACAGCCTAAAGTTACCACAAGATTGCTCAGCTTTAGGAATGGTGACCTCAAGCTTAGGCCATAGTCTCATTGTCAGATTCACACTTACATACCCTTGATAAGCACTATAGGAGACGTTGAAAGCGACAAATCCACTTCAGCACTTCATAGACGGATATATTTATAGTTTCTTAGGCTACTTTTGTAGTTATATTACAAGTATAAGCTAATAAAAGGATTATGACGTCAAGCCAGAGCCAGAATAACGACGATTTCATTCAATTTCCTTACTTAGAATGTACTTTCACCAATGAATACACAATGATATCACCATACAACTTTATTAGACGGTATTCTTATTATGCATTGAAATGATGAGGAAAAATTATTAGAGCATATTATTATTATTATTATTATTATGCACGTATTAAATGCATAGTATACAAAAAACTCAAGAAGCAATGAGAATTCGGATCGTATTTGTGAATCCGGCACCTGAAAAGAATCTCTTTCATTCTGGCTTCAAATGGCTAAAGATAGAAAGCTCAATGCTGATAGAGGAAGAAGAATTATTTAACTGGTACTAGTTAGAATCATAGAGAAACTACAAAAGGAATTAAGCATCTACGACTTGCAGGCACACCGCAAATTTGATTATTTTTCACTCAAAAAGAACTCCAACGCCGAAAAGTCGATCATAAAGAGATGGTGGATCGGAATTATCCAGAAATCAAGGGAAAAGTCTAGGTTCTAATCCTGGCAGGATAATTCTCCACATGCATGTCCATAGATGATGGGCTGAATGTCCCACACCTGCTATACCCATCAGTGGATCCCTTCCGTATAGTTGACAGTCGCCTGAGGTCGGGGCTTCACCATAGAGCCCCTTTGTCAAGCTAAAGTGATTGTCGCTCAAGGTATTGCTCTTCACCACCCGAGATCACTCCGGAATAAGCCTTCAGTCAGCCTTTAGCGTTGTTGAGGACCCTCCAATTCTTATATCTTTATTTTTGTAATTCTCACTAACCTTGATGCCATCCAGTGACGACCACCAACGGATCTCCCGCCCATATAATTCCATGCCTTTTGCCAGCTGCAATACCGAATTCAATGCGCTCGTCGATGTCAGCTTGCCAGTCGGCTTCCCGTGGTTCTAGAATGGACAATCTTAAATATGAAACGATTTGGACGAGTTGCCGTAATTGAGCGACATGTTTGGTTATATTCAGTAAGAGTTTCGGCACTTACTGGAAAAATGTAAGGGAAAAACGCTTCTGTAGAGATGTAGCCGACGAGCAACTCGTTCGTCTCGTGTAATGGATATCACTGGAACTGGCGGACGATAGCGAGAGCACAGCATTGCAGTACTGTAATTAGTGGTTTCCAGGAATGATTATGAAGACTCAAACCTGCTTTCATTCAGAACATTTTGACCTGCTATGGCAATGGTCTCAAATGGCACCACCCCTGCAACACATACATAGCATGTCCCATAGACCAAACATACACTTATACCCATCAAGTCAAACCAATTCTTTCCCTTCATTCCCTTCCCCGATATGTTCACCGCCCTTTGTCACCACTTTTTCTACTAGCGAAGGCTGAAGTATCTCACCTTCCAGTAGTAGTAATGAGAATGATTGCACTGGCTCTGCATGACACAGCAGCGGACACTGCTCCGATGGCAGTGGTATGAGTCCGATCGGTTGGCTTATTTGTATGGAACATGATTTCTTCATAATATTTTGTGTAGTAAAATGCAGTTTCGGCTTCTTTACAAATCTGTAAAAGTTGTTTACAAATAAGAAGGGCTTAAGTCAACATATATTTGAAATGGTAATCATTTCTTAATAATTGTGATTCTCGGTCTCCAATCCAGATTCATGTGGGATTCATTTGACTGTGGTGAAATCTGAGGCGTTCTTGTCGCCTTGATCAAGTTAGACTGAAGTCGAGCTAAAGTATCGGGGGTGTTTCAGGGTTTTAAATGAAAGTCCGCTTAACCTGTTCAAGTCAACTGAGTTATTCAGGAGTAATTCAAGGAACACTTGGCGAGCGGTTGGATCAAATCGCTTTGATGAGTGTAAACTCTGGGGATACAATTACTGGACTCCTCGCGCCACGTCGAAGCACTCTGACCAGCCGCTTTTCGTTTTAAGCTTGAGCTACCTATTAGCAGCAACTCTTGACGTTCCCATGGGGTACCTCTGTAAGTAATCAACGACGACCTTTCGGTCCTAACTGGAAATTGTAGTAAAGGCTATTCCCAAGAACAACAAAGGATTGTTTAGGATTTCATTACTAAGTATTTCTTTTACTGAAAAGAAGTGAGGAGCTTTACTAAAATCTTAGCCTATAAATAGTGATAGGTTTATATGTAGGATTCAGATAAAGAAGTGGATAGACTGACTGAATGCATCATCATGAGAGCTTCCATAGGATAAAGTCCTTTAGCGGTTTCACCGGACAACATCACACAGTCCACTCCATCCAGAACAGCATTTGCAACATCACTACCTTAAAAAAGTGAATACGTTAACGACAAACTTACGGAGATCTGGTAGGACAGACCCTATGAAGAGAGTTACAGGACACCCGATGTACACACGATTAAGTGCTTTTATCCTCCCAGATGGTCTGCTTCCAAATCGCTTAGCGAGAGGAATGGGAATCTTGGTCGGTCCATGAGGGTACTAATCAGGGACTAGATTTCTGCACTATGCTGGTAGTAGATAGTAGAAAATTGATCCATCTGCGCCCTGTTTGGCAGTATTTATGGAAAGATTGGGATTGGCGATCTGATCTTATTCAAATCTGCGAGTCAAAAGTATTCCAGATCTTCATGAGGCTTTTTTGATGCCCAGTAAGTAGTATAAGAATGGATTGATCTTATTCGAATCTGCGAGTCAAAAGTATTCCAGATCTTCATGAGGCTTTTTTGATACCCAGTAAGCAGTATAAGCAAATAAAAAAATGAAAGGAAAAATTAATTTTTAGAAAAGCTCGATTGAACTCACATTCAGCTCTAGTAGGTCGAGCATTTTTTATCATACTCTCCAACATCTGGGTTGCACAGATTACAGGTTTTCCTGCCATATTGCATTTGGCCACCAACATTTTTTGTGCCAAGAACACCTGAAATTGCGATTTAGCTTTATGTGATGAGTAGAGTTTGCCTGAAATTTCCTCCTTGGCTTATTCTGATTCTTTACCTCCCTTTCTCTTCGAGTAGAGTTTCTTGACCCTTCCGTGAGAAATATACAGAAACCCACCCTTTTGGCTCATTACACTGGTTGTTGTAAAAGATGTATTAGATAACGAAACCATTGAGCTCAGTAGTGAAATGCTCCTCAGCAGTATCGAGTAGTTTTTTTGCTAAATTAGTTTCCACCACCTTCCCACCTCTTCATTAATCCAGTCTCTACTGTTGCACTGCTAATTACGTATTTATTGTAGTTTAAGCATAGTGAGAGGTGGGCTAGGGGAGGAGAAACATGCCGATCTAATGACGTCTATAAAAAAGGTTCATCAGTCCAAATGGGCTACTTGCATCTATCCCAAAAAGGACATTACGGCACAGTACAGCACAGCACAGCACAGTACAGTACAGTACAGCACAGTACAGTACAGCTCAGCAAAGTTTAGATAATTCTCACCGAGTGTTAGACAAAGTGCGATGTCTTTTGACGCTGAGGGAAGTGCCAAAGCGTTTTTGCACGATGAGAGAGTCAGGGGAGAGCAGTATTCATAGGGATTATCTGCTCAAATAGGCCAAGCCATATTCGAACTCAATCTTGTTGCACTCATCCCTACCGCGAGTACCAAGTGGGTTGGTATAAGTTCAACAGCGTCTTTACCAGTTATTTTAAAGAAGGCAATTCGTGCATAAGAATCTTACTTTCTGGGGAGCAATTTCAATTCCAAGATCTCCTCGAGCAACCATTATGCCATCCGCTTCATTGACAATCTCATCAGCATTCATCAGTCCATCTTCACATTCGATTTTTGCGATAATGGCTATGTGCTTACCGCTGAAAAAATCTGATCGAAATCAAAACTAGAGCACCCTTTCCAGAACAGTACCTCTGTACAAGTCCTATATTGCTAACGAAGGTTTATTCGTCCAGAAAACACTTACCGCTCTCCAAGGATTTTTCGAATTTCACGAATTCCCTCAGCGCTTCGGATAAACGAAGCAAAAATGATGTCCACATTCTGTTCGATACCGAACAATAAGTCTGCTTTATCTTTTTCAGTGACAGCGGGCAAATCAACCGTTGTTCCGGGAAGGTTTATTCCCTAAAAAAGGAACATTGCGGGTGACGAACACCACACGTCAGGGAGCAGTATGACTGGCCAACTTCCAATGAATATTGGAGTGGCATGGCATTCCTCATCTCTCAGTCCCTGACTATGGGGTCTCAGATGTGGGTGGCCATGA